AAGCGCCTGGGGGGGGGGGAACGCAGCTTCCAAACAGCTGCTTGAACATCATGTGGGCTGGAGAGTTACTGGGATTGATCTTGGGTTGTTGCTTTTTTAAAAATGGATGGATGGATGGATGGATGGATGGATGGATGGATGGATGGATGGATGGATGGATGGATGGATGGCGGGGAGGAAGGCAACAAGGGGGGGCAATGTCGTGAGGGTGGGGAGGGCGCGCGCACGCGCGGCGCGTCCTTTCTCTTCTCTCTCTCTCTCTCTCTCTCGCTCTTCCCCCCCCCGCGCCCCGCGGGAAGGAAGGAGAGAGGGAGGGAGACGCGGACGCTGAGAAAGCCGGGTGGTGCACCTCGCCTCTGGCTGGCTTCCTCGCGAGCAAGCTTAATTCACACAAATATAATTTTAAGCAGTTCTCTCTTTGGCCAGTTACTCATGTATGTGTTTGTGTTTGTGTTTGTGTGTGTGTGTGTGTGTGTGTATGTGTATGTGGGGGGGTGTCTCTCCTCTCGGGGGCGGAGGAGGCCAAAGGAAGTTGCAGTCTAGAGTAGACCCCTTTGGGATCCGTGGGATTGATTGGCCATCCGAGTGGACTCGCCAAATCCCCGCTGGTTCGGTGGTGGGGGAGGAATTTTACTCTGGTGCCATTTCCTACGCTAGGGAAGGGGATTGGGTCCCACTTGGGTTGTGTTTTTTCTCTTTTACTCCGGAGGAAGCCCCCCCCCAGGATGTTTTCCGTGGGGCGGAATCGCGGGAAAGCGTTCCTGGCCGACGTTGCTGGTGTTTCAATCTTGCACACTTTTTTTAAAAAAAATTGGGAGTCAGTGGCTGTCCTTCCATAGGGCTTATTCCCAAACTAGGGAGTGGATGTGCCTCGTCCCGAACCTAATTTGTTTACTCGGGAGTAAGAATCCCATTCCGTTCGTCGCGGGAGCCCGACTCGCGAGCAAGTTAATACGCCTCCCGTTTCGACTTCCTCCTAAGCCTGTACATAGGCGGTTCTAGTCCGGACTCATTCTCCATTCAGGTCCTACTGGACTTGTTCGTGAGTAAGTGTGCATCAAAGTGTGCATTGATTGAGTCTTATAGGTGCTGCTGTCCATTCCTAGGGGCATTTACTCTCGAGTAAAACATGCAGCAGACATGCACCTGTTTAATTGAGCTTTCTCCGAAATAGGCATGCATAGCATTTCAGCCTCAAGGAAATACTGTAAAACTGCAGGGCTGGATCATGTCCTTTGGGATCTTGAGTAATTAAATCAAAATTTCCAGCGCTTTCCTCCAAGGAGTTCTGCAGTTACAAAAAATTAAAGGTGATTTATAATAAAATGATTGCCGAAGCACATACAAAGCGCTTTTCTCTTTCTTTCTTTCTTTCTTTCTTTCTTTCTTTCTTTCTTTCTTTCTTTCTTTCTTTCTTTCTTTCTTTCTTTCTTTCTTTCTTTCTTTCTTTCTTTCTTTTTTCCACTGGTTATAACAAAACCAAATCTCACACTCAGCCAAAGGCAACAAAGGGCCCTGTAGGAGCTCAAAGGCAAGATCTATTTGGCCTAAGCTTCTCAGAATCTCAAGCTTGTGCCATATCAAATGAGTTCGGCTTTAAGGTGCCACAAGTCTCTTAGACGTCTTTGCTGCCACAGGTTAACACTGGCTGTTCTTCCCGCCACCCACCCATCCCACTGCTTCAAATCCCAGGAAAGAGAGCTGCTGGGTTTTGTTTTCCTGACAGGGTTTCCACTTGCTTTTAATTTCAGGAGCTAACCGCTATGTGAATAATCAGCACCTCTGGTTTGTATTGCTAAGAAGTTATTGCATAAATATTCAGCAAAAGGCAATGTCCTGATAAAGCCACGGAGTGGATCTGACTGTTTAAACGGAAGGATGTTAAGGAGTAACAGCTGATCTGCTCGGTGGTGGGGAATGAGTTTCATGGCAGGGTTCAAAGAGCAGCTCCCCATTCAGAATTAAATTGTTTCTGATTAAAGTTCTCATACATTCAGAACTAAATTGAAAAAGAGAGACATCTATATCATTGTGTTCTATCCCTTTTTTATTACTCTTAAAGACAGGGGCAAAAAATGTCCCCTGGACTGCAAGGAGAACAAAACTATTCGTTCTGAAGGAAATCAACCCCGAGTGCTCACTGGAAGGACAGATCCTGAAGCTGAGGCTCCAATCCTTTGGCCATCTCATGAGAAGAGAAGACTCCCTGGAAAAGACACTGATGTTGGGAAAGAGTGAGGGCAAGAGGAGAAGGGGACGGCAGAGGATGAGATGGCTGGGCAGTATCATCGAAGAGATCAACATGAATTTGACCCAACTCCGGGAGGCAGTGGAAGACAAGAAGGCCTGGCGTGTTCTGGTCCATGGGGTCACGAAAAGTCAGACATGACTAAATGACTAAACAACAACAACCATCGCTTTCATCCAGGCATCTTAACCCACCTGTTCTGGCTGGTACAAGTTGGCTGATTTATAGGCATGGGAAGCCAGTCGTTAATTCACTGTCCTCACCCCCACCCCTACCATTAAAGATGCAACAGACGGACCTTGTTTCCCAACCCAAAACATTGTAAGAGAGCTGCTTTGGCTCAAAACATTTCAGCACTTCTTTCTTAAATAGTCATTCAAGGATGCTTGTTCCTTACCATCCACCAACGGTCAATCAGACACCAAAAATGTTCCATTTAAATGACTGGCAGTGTTTTCTTTTGCACCTGAAAAGCTGAGAATGAGGCTCTCCATCAGTCCGTTCATTATCCCGGCCTTCCCAACCCCGTTATTAACGGCTTCTGTGCAGCCCTCGGACCTCTGCCAGCCGCTGGGGGCCAGCCTGGTCCCCTATCCCACCTCTTACAGCACGCTACACCATGGGCTGTATCCCCTTTTGCCATGGCACAGCCAGCCTGCCTACGCTGCGGCTCACATTCCGGCCTTCCACCAGAACGCCAAGCTGTAGCTGCCCTCCTGCGCCGGCCACCCGAGAAGCATCTCGCTTGGGACAAGGAGGTGTGCCACGGACTTGTGAACGGCAGCTGCGCTGCACTTCAGCACTTGAACCGCCTGCCACTTTTGGGCTCCTTTCTGTAGGAAAGCAGCAGGACGTCACAATCAGGACCATACAATCTTTTTTTAAAAAAGGAAAAGAAAAGAAAACTGTTTAACTGTGGATGATATTTCTATCTAGTATTATATGTAAATAAATTATGCTTTTTAAAAAAGCAATAACCCCACTAGGGAACAAAGTTCATATAAACAGAGATTTATATCTGCAGTTGTGGTGGATCTAGTTCCATTCCAGTTCATACATACATTGTGTGTGTCAGTGTGTTTGTGTGTGCCGCCCATGCATGTGCACACACCATCAAGTCGATTCCAACTTATGGTGATCCTTTCCAGGGGTTTCC